CCAAATACATTACTAATCACTAATCCAATCTTAAGTTCTTCCATTTGTTTCTTTCTTAATTTTGGTAGAGCATGGATTGGACTGGAAGTCATTTCAGTTGCATACATTCATATTGATATTATTATGGCTGCTCTGCTAGTGTGACATCGTTTTTATGAGCAGGGGGAAAACGTGAAACAAAGCCTCCAATTTGAAGTGCTTGACCAAATTTGTTTTAGTTATACCTAGCAATCCAAAATAGTATCTGTACTAGTCAAATATTGATTCAACCACACATGATTCGGCTCATGGTTGTGTGTTTCACATTCAATTGAATAAAAAATCCTATTTCTTTTCCATGAGACAAAAAAAAAAAAGGGGGAAGGGAAATTCATTCAATTCAACCCCTATATTAATCTATTCCATAATTAGTGTAGGGTGGAGTAATAATTTCGAACCCCAATTCTAGAAAGAAAGCCCATCTTTCCATGTGATGTGTTTCCACTATCCAATTTCCAGTTACATACAGTATATGTTGCTCCCAGTCAAAAAGTTAATTAAGACCATAGATTCTTAGCATCCACGTCGAGGAGAATTAAATGGTTAGTGGGTGAATAGAATAGAATAATGCGCAGAGAGGCACCACAGTAACAGACAGGGCAGAGGATAGAAAGTGCAAATGGAAAAGTGAAAGGAGGAAAGAGACTGCTCAATATGACACGATAATGGCTTAGAATATTACACCATAATAATGTCGGAATTATTCTTTTTAAGACTCCCTTCGTTTTCCCACATCCCCAACCCCTAGACCCACATGGGTTCATCATCTTCCCTGCCTCACCCCTTTTTAAAAAATGTTTATTGAATTAATGCATTCACCCTAATTTAATCAAGAAAGACACCGGCCTTGTTCTTGGGGCTGAAGGAGTCAAAAGCATAAAAATGTCCACCACCATATCATAAATGTATGTAGTATCACCAAGCATGTGCAGAGAGATGGACAAGCAATGAGTTGTATGTCTTTACCTTTTTTAGTGGTGTGGTGTGGTTTTGGGCCCCAACACCACCCTAAATTAAAGATTAGCATTGTCATTCATTAACTAACCACATGGACATGAGTTTCTTTTTGTTTCTAAGCAGAAGAGATTCATAATCTATACTACATACCTATGCTTTTGATGTTCAAAATATATAATATAAAATGTACACACTACATACCTACTTTTGTGCTACTACTACCTGCATATTAATTGTTTGACCATTCTTGACTTATTGGAGAGGCAAAACGCCATACCTCTCTGTCAATTACTAATTTCAACTTTTGGTGAGCACAGAGCAGTGGTATGGTAGAGGAACGATGCAACTCTACTCCCAATTCCTAACCCAACAGAATGCCTACTCATTTCTACCTGTAAAATATGTTTGATTTGAAACAAGGGGTTTTTTTTTTTAACTTTCTCTTAAAATCTCAGGAAAAAAAATATTTAATTTATTAATTATTTAATTAAATTTATTAATGTGATTATAATATTAAAATTAATGTTAATTTTTATATTTTTATATAAATTTATAATTAAAAAAAGTACCTCTAACTTATATCTTTAAAGTATAAATAAAAAAAAATGTTGAGAGAAATAGAAAAGAAAGACCAAACAAAAGAGAGATTAAACAAAAAAAAGAGACTAAAAAAATGGCGATGGGAGAAATAGGAGGGAGTGAGGACTCAAGTTTTTTGAACTTTAACCAAAGCTGCGCTGCGCAGCGCAATGGATTCTGTGGGCTTAAACCTGGGTTCCTTTAAATGTTTTCGCTTTATGAACTGGATTAGATTGGACTCCTTAATTGCGTTGGACTCATTTTAAAAAATGGGCTACACTTTAGACAATTACATTTAATTTTTTTAATTCCCAGGCCCAACGACATAAAAAATAAAAAAAAAACATTTTCAGTACCCTATATTAAACGACATCGTTCCTGCTTTTCATATCGTATACTTTTTTCCATTTTTTCTTCCCCGTCCTCCAGCCCATAGTAATATTAATAATTAATAATAATAATATAAATAGTAAAATAATAATAATAATAATAATAATAGTAATAATCTCTGCTTCCAAATTTACCCTTGGAAACATGCCCAATTTCCCCACGTAGCATAGCATTAGCAGTAGCATGTCCTCCTCCGAGGAAATCTCCCTCCACGACGCCGTCTTCGACGATGACAACGACCCCTTCAATTGCGACGCCGCCCGCCCCGCCCCCAAGACCCGCCTCCTGACCGGCTTCACTGACCACAAGTTGTTCTCCTTGCCCGCTTCCCAAACCACCCAATTTCGACCTGGAAACCTCCGCGCTCCTGCGCCCGACCGCACTTGGGGAAACGGAGACGGCCACCAACATAGCGCCGACGATTCGGATGACGACGACGACCGTGAAGAAGATGATGATGGCGATGGGGAAGAAAACAATAATAACATCAGTATCAATAGTAGGAATAACAATAACAGTACCGGCGAGACTCTACGTGGGCCTGCCGCTGGAAATGCCGATAAAATTGGAGATGTGAAAGTAAAGCACCATTCTTCCTTCGGGGGTGAGTTTCTTTTGGGCTTCCCAAATCCCAATTTTGGAAATTCTGTCTTTTCTTTTCTAACGTGGTTAAAAGACTGCTGTTTGTATGTATTTCTGTTATAGTGGGAGTAGGAGGGAGCAGAGAGGTGGCTGTGCAGGACAGTTGCAATCTCGGACAAGCGGGGAGAGAGAGTATGTATCGGAATGCAGTTACAATTGCAGAACCAGATGGAGATATCTATTACTCGCATTATTTGCAGGGTGTAGAGGGCTCTAGTGGTGGTGGAGAGAAGGATGCCGTTGCGGAGAATGGTGGTGGTGCTGGATTTAGTGGGAGGAAAGATGTGTCTTTTTCTTGTGAGTCTGGGGAGTCTCTGAGGACCATTTTATCAGACCCTGTCACGTAAGTCCCCTTTTTTTATATTGAAGAAAAATGAAGTTGACATGATTACATACTCATTGTCAGTAAAACTCACATAAAATAATCCTGATATCATGTGATCTAGGGGAGCTCTCATGGATGATGCCATGATATTGCCTTGTGGACATTCCTTTGGAGCTGGTGGAATACAGCATGTGATGAGAATGGTTAGTATTCCGTCCACAAACCGTTGTCCTCTTTGGAATGAGTAATTTGATGTTCCCATCTAGTGGACAAGTAATAGGGTGCATGGTGCTTTGGTGATGTTCGTTTGTGCACTTTTAGAAAACCAAAGTTTTCTACCTAATTTTGTGTTCTGAGTTGCCTCGGATGCATGTAGGGCTCTGGTGCTTGCTATATTATCATAAAGATTTTCTCTTTTGGATAAGGATAAACAAATTTGTGCATTACTTTCACCAATCTTTCTGTGATATTTCTGGAATCTTATAAGCCATGTTTTAAGCTTCTATTCTAGCTACTACATTTTTCAGTTGAGTGTTTTTGACATGTACAGTTGTTCACTTGTTTCATATTCTTAATCTCTTTTGTTTACCTTGATTACTGGTTGAGTTCCATTGTTTTAGCTGATGAACCACTAAAATGAAAAAAAAAAAAGAAAAAGAAAATCTGCCTGCCTCTCCTACTCTCATGGTTGCGCTATTGTTACATTATCTTTTCTATATGAAATACTTGTCTACCTTGTGATTATGGTTATGACAGTGTATTCCTTGTTATTATATCATCAGAAAACCTGCTACACCTGCTCGCAGTCAGTCTCAGAAGACCAAGTAGCTGCAAATCTCTGTAAGTAAAATTTCCATTGTCTCAGGAAAAGAGCTATATCTTCCTTTCAAGTTTCAAATCTATATTGTTGATTTGTGAAATTTGCTACTAGAACTAAGTGATGAAGAGAGCTATTTGCCCCATGTTATTGCTTCTTTTTTTTTCTTTTTTTTTTCATGGGTGTTTGAGATCCTATACCCTGTCTATCCTACATGATTTCCCAGGTTTCCATGGGTGTGTTTGTTCTTTTTAGCTAGGATATTTCACATGTCATCTTTTTTTATCTTAGTCACCTACTTTCACAGAGTTACAAAATCTCATCTTGATGATGTATTATTTCAGAATATGGATTTGAGTCCAAATATGCAATTCTTTTATGTTGTTGAAGAAATATATGATTTAAATGATATTGTGTGAATGGTGTTCTTTGTATCATGTAGTTTTTTTGGTATATCTGATGATGGGTTATATAAGAGAGGATAGCCCTTCCTTTTATCCTAAATCCCTACCCTACTTGACTCAAGATTCAAACCTGAGATCTCCAACTTATAATCTCAGGCTCTTAACCAAGTGTGCCACCTCCTTGGGGGCTTTGTAGTTTTTTCTATCATGTAGTTGGTGGAGAAAATTAGATACCTCTAAGGGCTGGGCTATTCAATGCAATTGAACTATAGATTTCAAATCATTTGATTTGATAAATTATCTAAATTGGAGTTTCAATTTAAAGGTTCTTTTTTTTCTTTTCTTTTCTTTTTGAAATTTATCTCTATTGATGTTGTACTTGTGCAGCTCTTCAAGCTGCAGTTCACGCATTTTGCCAGGAAGTAGAATTACGGTTCTACCACTCATCTAAGAGGAGGGAAGAGAGATTTGACCAGGTTTCTTCTTTTTCCTCTCATTCTAATGCTGTTTGTAAAGATAGGAGCCATTGGGTAAAACCAAATTCTGTTCCTTGGTTTTTGTTTGTCATTTGACATGACTCACTCTCCTTGGTCCACTCTTTGTTGCCCCATTATGCCATTATGAACTCTCTTACAAGGCTTTCAACTTGCTAGGTTCTGGAGTGGATTCCCCTCCCTCCAACCACTGTTCTTCTATCATCTATGACACTTTGTTTTAAATGTATATTGATGTAGGATAAAAGTAGCTTTGGTGATTCAAATATTATGGATAATACTAGGGGTAGAGGTGTACAGTTTCCATTCTCTGTGACAGACCGGGTCATCATAAAGGTATTGCTAATAAAGGTTTCGTAATTTTCTTACAGTTGTTCCTTTTAATGGTTGGTCAGTCATAAGTAGTAATTTGGTGGGAAAATGAACTAGGGAAACAAAAGGACACCACAGCACTTTGTTGGACGCGAGGCTGTTGTAACTACACAATGCCTGAATGGGTGGTTAGTCACTTTCTGTCTCAATTGATCTTACCCTAGAAACTGGTTCTAAGTTTTGTTAATTTTATTCATTTATGGATACTATCTTAATATGATTTAGTTTCTACTTGAAAGCCATGTGTGTGTTATCTATTTCTCCTGCTATGTTTTCCTTCTTGACTGTAAGGAGAAGGTACTGAATGAGACTATAAATATTGATCTTTCTGATATGGTCCTAGTCTCATTTGTAGGTATGTGGTGAAGACACTAGACAATGCAGAGAGTGTTAAGTTGCAGTATAGATCACTGGCCAAGGTTCCTGATGATCCATCCTCAAAGCCAATGTCAAGTAAGGTGGCACGAAACTAGGTGTAGAGCTGTAGCGTACAAAATGGTCAAAACAAAACGGGACTTCTATACATTGTTTTTAACGTGCGTGGCACGTTTTACGACTTAATTGAACTGCCTTGCAATTGATCTTGCTTGAAATATTGTTTTGCGACCTTGTAAATAACAGGGGAAGGTCTGGTCTGTCTCACTCTCACATGGTTGTTCGAGGAACCTTAGAAAAGACGCTAGGGATTCAATCTGATTACGTCAACATTTTTTGCTAGTATCTGTATTCATAGCTATTAGCTGCGTCTGTATTAGACATTGTAATACTTGTTTATGAATGCAATCCAATCCAAACAGCTTTATTTCAATTGAGCAACTTAAGTGCCAACCCTGAGTGCCCTCCTGGAAGACCCGCCTTCCCTTAATGAAGTCGCTTGCCGTGGCTCCTGGATGCGTTCACCCGTTCTCTTCCTATAGGAGCCCTCACAACTCTCACAATTTCTTTTCCTGTAAGGAATGTATGTCCTTATTCCAAAAGATTACAAGCAATGGCTAGGATAATTTGGATGCCAAATTTTGGTTCATTCTAACAAGTAATATGTTACGCACATGATTCGCGAGAAACGAGACAGTCAAACTTGTGTATTTTAAGCGTAATTCCATGTTCATCTATTGTATTTTAGGAAATTATTTGTTTTCCAAATAATAAATTAAAGATTCGTATCTTAAATTCTATCTACAAAATGATATTTTATTATTGAAGTTGGTTCTAGCACATAGATTAAATAAGTGTCAACTACAGGAGGACAGTTTCAAACTAATTGATGTCCTTGGCAAGCGGCATGATTTGCATATATTTAATTGGATGATTCTTCAATAACATCAATACTTAAATCAAAAACTGATGGACAATAGCGTAGTGCAAGGTCCATGCCGGTGCCAACCAAATCCATTGCAATCCATTGTAATCCACATACAATCAATCCAGTCCATGTCTAGTCTATTTTTATTAGTATATACAGTGTTTATTAAATCTAACTAATATTTGGATTTTTGTTTTTTCGATCACAACACAAACACCGCACCATACCACATTACCACTGATCTGAAAACACTATATATACTGATTACAATTTCAGTAGTCAGTTAACTCATCCTATCATCACTACCAGGCAACCATTGTAATTTCCTACCTAGACCCGCAATCTCGAAACTTGTAAAACCGCGCAATGGAACAGAAACCTCACATCGCCATCGTAACAACTCCAGGGATGGGTCTTTTCATCCCGATTGTTGAATTTGGCAAGCAACTGGTCCATTTGCATGGCTTCCATGTCACCTGCATAATCCCCAACATCCCAGGGCCTCTAACAGACACCATGAAATCAGCCCTCCCCCCATCCGTAGACCAAGTGTTTCTCCCGCCGGTAAGTTTGCCACAAGACACCGGCGCCGATACTGGAACCCTGATTTGCCTCTCCATAACCCTCTCCCTTCCTCTTATACACAAGGTGCTAAAGACCTTGGCGGAGAGCAGCCGGTTAGTTGGTCTCTTGGGAGATGTTTTCAGCATATTGGCCATGGATGTAGCCAAGGAATTGAACATCGTCCCTTATATGTTCTTCTCATCCACCATGGAATTGTCTTTGTATTTGCATCAGCCAGAGCTGGGTGAAATGTTTCCTTTTCCGGAAGTGATTCAGCTCCCAGGGTGTGTTCCGATTCCTGAAAGAGACTTAATCATTCGCGACCGTTCAAGTCAGCTCTACAAATGGTTCCTTGAAAACTCAAAGCGGGTCCGTTTAGTTAAAGGAATTGTGGTGAATGCCTTCCTGGACTTGCATCCAGCTGCACTTCTCGCTTTGCAACAAGAAGGATCCCGCAATCCACCCATATACCCAATTGGACCACTTGTTCAGGACTCCTCACCCTTACCTCCAGTTCCAGGTAACGAAGAGCAACAAGATTGTTTAAGGTGGTTGGACGATCAGCCACGTGGGTCCGTCTTGTTTGTTTCTTTTGGTAGTGGTGGGACTCTTTCCGAGGTTCAGACCAATGAACTAGCATTGGGTTTGGAGATGAGTGGGCACAAGTTTCTGTGGGTTGTGAGAAGCCCAAATGATGAGTCTGCAAGTGCAGCGTATTTAGGCGGCGGACAAGGTCCTCCAAAACATCCTTCCCAGTTCTTACCCCAAGGCTTTGTAGAAAGGACCAAGGGGCGAGGTGTTTTGGTACCCTTTTGGGCACCACAGCCTCAAATCCTTAAGCATGGCTCCACGGGTGGATTCCTTACGCATTGTGGTTGGAATTCAATCATGGAAAGCATCGTCAATGGTGTTCCATTGATTGCCTTTCCCTTGTTTGCTGAACAAAATATGAATGCTCTGATGCTGACAGAGGATGTGAAGATAGCAGTGAGACCGAGAGCGAATGAGGATGGGCTAGTGGGAAGAGAGGAGGTTGCCAAAATTGTGAAGACTCTAATGGAAGGAGATGAAGGGAAGAGAACCCGTGAACGCATCAAGGAGCTCAAGGAAGCAGCCGCAAAGGCAGTTGGGGAAGGTGGGTCTTCCAGGAAGGCATTCTCACAGTTGGCACTTGATATGATCCATCAATCAAAGTGAGGGATTAGGCATTTACCCTTAATAAGAGTCATGTGGAACTAAAACATGCGAATCCCAATTTGCTAATTTAAGGCTCCCAATCCCTACACTACATGTACGAGCATATCCGTTTACTTCAGTTTCCTTTCTTCTTCTTCTTCTTTTTTTCCCAATGTTTACTTGGGTTTTTTTACCATTTAGTTGTAGTAATTGACAAACATGGTTGAAAAACTTGAAATAAGGTTATAAGCTCCCACTGCGCCGACATCCATCATCAACCAAAGAAAGAATTCCATAAAAAGATACACCATGTTTACTGCCTTTGTCTCTTTAATTCGACTCAATCAAAAGAAAATTAAAAAAGAGAAAGAAATAACTTCTAACATCAAATTCAGCCTCCACTATGATCAGAATTTTCAGACAGAGTAAAAATGCTAAGGAAAAAATAAACTAGCTTTTGGTGTTACAATTTCACAAGCCATTAAGGCTTTATCTAACCAACAATGGTTGGGAAAACGCAGATTAAGGATTCTAGCTAGCATTTGCATTAGGAAAGAGAATGCAACATGGACTAGTTGAATTTACGGCAGTAGCAAACGATGCAGTTAGTAAGATCAGAAACAGGACACATTCTCCTTTGTTAATAGAAAATTGCATGTTGAATAAATGGAAGCAGCTGCTGCCCTCACAGCCAATTCCTTCTCTGACTCTGACCCATCCCCCTTCCCTAATCTGCGAAACAATTTACCAAAACTTGTAACCTAAATGTGATGCCCAAATTTCACTATATAACCCATATGGATCAACCAAACAATAGTTGAAATAAGCAATGCAAGAGCAGCAATTTAGAAGCTTTGTTTTAAATACGTTATAATTCAGAACCCAAGATTAAATAGGACTTTACACTGTGTATGTATTTGCATAGATTGATCATAAAGGACACATGCAATTCTCGAAAAGAAGTAGGCATTCTAGGTTGCATGTTCACAGGGAAATACAATTTTTATGCTATTAAATGGAAAAACCATTTGGAAGCATATATTAATGTAGATTAAGTAACATATTTCAATCTATGTACCAAAAAAAAAGTAACATATTTCAATCTTAAACATAGGCCCCCCATTATGACAGAACAGAATCATAATTGGAAAAAAAAAAAAAAAAAAAAAAAAAAGGAAAAAACTTACTTGCTCTCCACTATTGATGCTCCTATCTGTTGTAAACCATAAATCATGTTCCCATGGATATGATTCAGGCCCTGATCGCAATGCAGTTGCATCTCTTTTACTTGATATGACCAACTTTCCTGAAATGTAAAAGAAAGGAAGTAGTAAAGATTAAAGGCCTTTGTTTATGACATTATTAACATTCTACCAACAGAAATTTAGAAGGCGAAAAAGAGTGCAGAATTTAAGAGGAACCTGAATTAGAAGGAAAAAATTGTGAAGAAGGGAAATAAACTTAAACACAGTACTTTATTAACATAAGTTTAAAAAGGAATGGAAATGTTTTTCTCAATTTGATGAAAATTCCATTCTTGAAATTGAAAACAAAGATGACATGTTTCCATATGATACTCACAAGCTGTTTCTCTTCTTCAGATAGTGCTTTATCCATCTGATCAAACAGTGCACTCCATCTCGCCCTATGCTGGTCAGCAGTAGCAGAATTGTTTTGCATGATGTAAGGATCATTCTCCTGATCAGAGGAGAACTCTTTTGATATTAGAAAAGGTAAGTCTGTTGCAATTACATCTCGTACCCTCTTCTTGCTACGCCTCAATGCTGCAAGTACAGAGAGAAATTCAATACAAATGAGAGATATATATAAGCACACATCCTATTCTAAATAAACCTCTAACAGCAGTTTTTTTTAGTAAAAGAACATTACCTGAAAGACGTCCTTTAATATCTTGCTGAAGAAGTTCCAACCATTGAGATGCAACAGAAGCAGCTGGCAAATATAAAGTATTTCATAATTAGTTGAGCAATTCTTTCATGCGTCGTCATTGCACAGATTTCCTCTTTACCAACTCAAAGATAGTTAATCTCAAATGGCTTCATAGCACACACTATAGGAATCACATAGCAAAGCACAACCATAAGCTTGTGCCCTCACACGAGTTTCTTCATGAAATACAATCAATATCTCAAAGAACAAGCTCTCTCTTGACACAAGACGGTCATTCTCCTTGTGCCAACAAATAACTAACATTCTTTCAACATATAAACTTTACCAGCCAATAATTTTTCATTATCTTTGACAATTTTGTGAGATGTTACAAGAAAGATCATATCAGAAACAAATAAACATAGTGTGGGAATAAAAGTTGTCACCTTTAACAGAAAGAGAAGAGGCAGTTATGAGAGTTGTCGATTCCTCATTAGACAGGGAGCTGGAGTTGGTGTTGTCAGAAGTCTTGGCTGATGATGACAACTTGAACACTACTGTTCCACCCTCTCTGACTTGATTTATCATGCTCGAGTCACCATCTCTGCATTTTTCTTCTGAATTTGAGGAACATGGCTTCAGCGTTGGAATGGCGCATCCTGTTGTCTGCTTGGTCGAAGTCGAAGAAAAGGTATTTGTGTGCCAACATTGATCAGAATAACCAAGTTGATGTGGTGTGGAATCATTGGTGTTAAGATGGTTTGCGTGTTTGGGTTGTGAATGTAAAGGTTCAGGTTTTTCGGACTTGACCAAGGCCTGTATAATTGAATGGACCTGCTTCCTGTTTCTTACATGGTTTATAATCCCAGGATTCAAACCATTAAGCAGTCCGGTGGGAGCAGCAATCTTGGTGAACCTGTCAACCTGTTCTCTCTTAGCAAGTTCCATCCTTTTGTTGAGTACGTGATCATTCTTAGATTTCCTCCCACGTTTCTTTGGCACTGGTATCCCACCATGGGAAGATGAGACAACACTGTTTTGCACACATATGCCTCCATGAGAAGACGATAGAAAACCATTTTGCTTCATCTCCTTCCAAACTCTTAACGGATCTTTCTCCAGAGCAGTTGAAGTTTCAGTTTCACAGTGAGAAACATCTCTAGGCTTCAAAACCGAGGTATTTTTGCAAGGGTGAAAGTGATCTTGATTTACAGAACTAGAAACGTCTTCGACATTTAGATCCAAGGCAATGCCCCTTGAATTTGCAGAATTGGTATCTGAATTGGTGGGAAAGCAAAATTCAGCATTTAGATCCAAAGGTAATGTTGTCTCTGATTCAAAATCGGAGGCCACTTTCACGTCGGTAAGTGGGGACATGTCATCTTCATTGGTTTTCAAAGATTTTGAATCAAACCCATTCATCGCTGTTGGGAGAAATACAAAAATTGTGAACAAATTACTAAGGTGAAGCTACTTGGTTCAGACATCAAAAGTAACTTGTACAACCTCCGGAGGCAGGACATGTCCCTGAGGTGGGATTTTCCCACTCAACAACAGGAATCACATTAACTACTGCGTATGGCTACTTCAATTGGTTCAAAAATCTCAACCCAAGAACAAGAAATGAAATGGCATTTTGAATTTGTATTGGAATATTATAGAAGTAGATAAAAATCTTAACTTGAAAAAGAAGAGGATAGGATTGGCAATACCATCAGAACGAAAGACAGAATCAAGATGTCGCATTTTGACGCGCTTCCTGGAAAGTCCGTCTTTTTGTTGGAATTCATCACAGCTCCTTTGCTCTACGACTAACTAAAAACAATCTCCAACCCGCAAACAAAATGAAAACCAACAATAATTCAAAACACTGAGAAATTAATTGACTTGATATAAAGAAGAAGAACCTTGGAGTTGGAATCGGATCTGGGTATGAATGAATCGCCTCCATCTTCCATCCCCTGGGAAACACAAAAAAACGATTGTTGGTGTTGGTGTTGGTGTTAGGGTTGGGATGGCAGATCTGATGCTGATTCCGATTTCTGAAGGGGGAGGCAAAAAATAAAAATAAAAATTGGGTTTTGATTTTGAATGCTGAAGAAGAGGGAGAAGGAGCGCGCTTTAATTGTAAGACAAAATGAAACGTGGGCGTTTTGTTTAAATTCAAATAGGATTAGTTGGAGCTGGAGGGACTTCGCCAAATAATTGGGCTCTTTTGACCAGACCTGAATTTAATTTTTTAATATTAATATCCAAAAATTACATTAAATCTTAATTAATTCAGAATCGAGTTAGATCGAATTTCATATGGAGAAACTCTCTTAACACCTATTTTTTTGTTTACAAGGGTTAAATGAGATCTTATTTAAAAGAAATTGAATTCCTTTCATTCGGATTAATAAGTTATTGGTCAAATGTGAATTTAATTGGACTCTCATACAAACCCTTGGGCTGGCCTGCGTGAACGGTGAGAGCGTCACCTATTTATTCAGCAATCTTTCAATTTTCTTTTCTTTTCTTTTTTTGAAATATATATCTTTTTGGATTACATATAAGAGTAGGACACACTAAAAATCACAGAGTCCTTGTTTTATATATGTATATATACGCACAATTTAGGGTAGAAATTTTTAATATAATAGTGTCATTATTTAAATTTTAATTATTATTAAAATATTAAATATACCTTATAATTGACATATGAGGCAAGTTTGGGTTTAAAATTGGAGCACTACCAGTCAGATATTTAGGTGTGCCTTTGATCACGAGTAAATTGACTCAAAAAGATATTAGACCCTTGGTGTCTAAAATAACTGAAAGGATGACCTACGAACGGGTGAATGAGTTGGATGGGACTCTTCCAGCTTAACAAAAAGTCTTGACTTCAAGTCTTAGGAATGCAGTTTCGTTAAAACTCGTGAGAGAACTTTGTCGCTCGTTGGGTCCTGCCCGTTTGAATCCGAATTAGTCAGTAGTCTAGTGGGCTTTCGAATACCAGGTGGTCCATACCAAAAAAAATAACTGAAAGGATGACTTAATGGGCAGCAAAACACCTCTCTTTTGCTGGAAGATTTGCAGCTGATTTCTTCTGTCATTCAGGGGATAATTAATTTTTTTTGTTCTGTTTTTATACTGCCTAAAGGAGTCATAAAAGAAGTGGAGAAAATATGTGGTGCCTTCTTGTCGAATAATGACACTCATAGTGTTAAAGAGGGCCAAGGTAAAATGGGCTACTGTGTGTACTCCCAAGCAAGAGGGTGGCTTAGGACTAAAAAACTCGGTGCATTGGAATCAAACTTGCATTCTCAAATTTATTTGGTTATTATTCTCTAAAGCAAGTTCAGTTTCGGTAGCGTGGGTCCATGAATATTTACTCCGGGGCAATAGTTTATGGATTGTTAAAATACCTATTGATCCTTCTTAGGGATGGAGAAAAATTTTGAAACTAAGACAGCTGGCTAGGAAGCTTATTCAACATATACCCGGTGATGGCTAAGATATATATATATTTGGCATGACAACTGGCATCCTTCTGGCCCTTTATTACAGGTGTATGGCAGTTCTATTGTTCAAGTTGCAGGGCTACCTTCCCAGGCAAAATTGGCTAGAGTAATAAATGGTGGCTTTTGGCAATGGCCTCCTACTAAATCTTCCCAACTAGTACAAATTCAAATGCATTTGTTTGATTTCTACCCAAAGGAAGGAGAGAAGGATTCAGTAGTATGGTTACCTTCCTCTTCTGGTTCTTTTAGAACTGGGCAAACTTGGCACTGGTTAAGAAGCAAGCAAGACAGGAAAATATGGTATAAACTGGTCTGGTTCTCTTAGGCTATTCCCAAGCACAGTTTCATAAGTTGGCTAGCTATTCTCAATAGATTGAGCACAAGGGCTAGGCAAAGGAAATAGACTCCTACTATCCCCAATACATGCATCCTATGCAACAACAATTCTAAGACGAACGAGCACCAATTTTTTAAATGCTCTTTCACAAGAAGAGTATGGCAGCAACTCAGTAGCATGCTTGCCATCCCTTTCATTGATTCCTGGAGGGGTTTGCTAAGTTGGATGGGGAAAAAGGTTAGAAGAAAATCCTTATACTATGTTTTAATCAAGTTAGCATGGAATGATGTAGTTTACCATATTTGGATGGAGAGGAACAAGAAAACTCACCAGAAAACTTTTAAGAATTACAGTGCTATTGTACATGAAATCAAATCTGATATCAGGTGTAAGATCTTGGGTTTTGCTCGGCCAAGATCCTCCCATTTGCCTGTGGCCATTGCGTGTCAATGGGGGCTTGAAACAATGGTGCAAGCCTAAATTTTGTAGAGTAGTTGCATATATTTGTCTATTTTGATATTGTTTGTTGGTATTCATTCTTTGTAGCAGCTTATTGCTCTATTGTATTGTATTGTTACATTGGATATATAAAATTCACATTTTATATAAAAATAATAATAATAAGTCCATTTATTTTAGTACTTCTCTTAACAGGCAGTCTTTTGAATTCATTTTTTTAAAATTTTGAAAGCTATCCTAAAACTTTAGAAGAATGAGATTTAACTATATATAAATTTTATATGATTATTTATTTTTATATTTTTATTAATTAAAAATTATTTTTATTTTTATTAAAAATAATTATTTTATTTAAAAAATTATTTAAAAATTAAAATTTTATAAAAATATAATATATAAAATTTATATATAAATACATGTTTAAGAGATGCAAAAATGAAGGGTTTTTTTAAAGAGTTTATCTAATCTATTTGGTGTCTTAAGATATAAATTAAAGATGTATTAAATATATTTTTTTATTATAAATTTATATTAAAAATAAAAATT